TTTTTTTTTTTTGTGTCTGTTACCACTTTTTCTCAGCTCTGACCGAACCGATTTCTTTCAATGATACATCAAAAGATCACAAATCGTATCTAGTCGAAGACATTACCCTCAAAAATAGAAAAAATAATCCTTCGTTCCCCGTAAATGGGGGAAACCTCCAAAAAAATTACAAATTTAAAATACGCTAATTTTTGAAATTTTTTCAATTTTTTTTAATTAAAATTGCCATAATTTTTTTAAAAATAACCAAATCAATATAATTCTTTTTTTTATAGATGCATGATGTCTTTAACTATTATTTGGTATATTTTTTTTATAAATCTGACTTTTTACCTGCACACAGGGGAGGGATTTATAATGACAACTTTTTTACAAAAAATTAACTTTTTCAACTTGACTTTTGAAAGTGTTCCGGAAAGTCTGACACTTTTATATATATCTTAAATTAAAGCTAATGTAATATACTTTATTATGAAAAAAAAAAAATTTCGGACTTTATTTTGTCTTCACGGTGAAAATGGCTACTGAATGCTATTTTTGTGTGAAAATTTTCGATTTTGTATTTTACATTTTTAACTTTATTATGCTATAACTTTTTGAAAAATGTATGGATTAATACAATTTTTTCATAAAAAGTAATATTTATATACATCTTTCATTCGACATACTGGTTTTTTAAATCGGACCATTTCCCTATATACGAAGGGGGTTCAAATCTAAAAAATGCTTATAGAAAGTAGAATATTTTCAACTTAACTTTTGAAAGTGTTCCGGAAGGTCTAACACTTTTATATATATCTTAAATTAAAGGTAATATAATATACTTTATTATAAAAAAAAATTTCACCTCTGGACTTGTCTTCGTGGTGAAAATAGACATCAAATTTAATAAAAAAAATACGATTTTTGTAAAATAATTCTTTTTTATATTTTTAACTTAATAATGCTATAACTATTTGGAAAATGTATGGACCAATGATTTTTTTTTTTTATAGATGCTTGATGTCTTTATCTATCATTTGGTATATTTTTTTTATAAATCTGACTTTTTACCTGCCCATAGGGGGGGAATTTATAATGACAACTTTTTTACAAAAAATATACTTTTTCAACTTGACTTTTGAAAGTGTTCCGGAAAGTTTGACACTTATAAATATATCTTAAATTAAAGATAACGTAATGTACATTATTATGAGAAATAATATTTATATCCCTCTTTTATTCGAAATTTTTTTTTTTTAAATAACACTATTTCCCTTTATATATTATAAATATATATAGATATTTATTTATTCATATATTACACTTATAAATCATAAAACTTGTAATCGGGATGTAAATAGGAAATAGATCATGTAGCTTTTGAAATAATTCATCAATTTTTTTAAATTAAACAGAATCTATAGATTTGCATCGAAACGTCTTTAATGATAGTGATTTTAATTAAAAAACTATCGAATAACTATTCGAATTGTTTTTGTACAACCGAATAGTGTGTTTTTAGCATAAACTATCGAATAGTTTTTAAAAATATTCGAATAGACTATCGAATAGTTTTAAAATATATTCTAATGGGCTAGTGAATGGTTTCAAAAAATATTCGATTAGTTCTAATTTAAATTTTTATGAAGTACAATTAATTATAATAAGAAGATAATTAACGAATACTTAAAATAAATTTTTATACAATTAATAACAGTAAAAAGTACCATTTTATTTATTTTTAGTTTGTGAGTCGTTGGTAAAAACTGATAAATATGGGTTGAAAATTAAAAAGCAGTTCTTTTTTCCGATGACTAATGATATATTTTCAATTTTATCGGAAAGGTTTGTTCTATGAGCAACAGAACTATTCGTAAATACTAAAGTCTTATTTTACACTTAATACCTTGTATACTGTTCTTAGTCTAGCATTACCTGCTCTTTTGTCATATAAAGGCATAACACCGATAAAGAGGACAGCGCGTTTTAACACTAACGATCTAAATAGGATTGTTTTAAAACTGTTTATTCAGGGTACTAAGATTATAAATAGGATACAATTAATAATAAAAAAAATTAGTGATGAGCATTTTCAAATATTTTAAACTGTTGATTAATTATTCGAACTGTTTTTATACCACCGAATATTTTATTTTTAGCATAAACTATCAAATATTTTAAAAACTATTCGAATATATTGTGAACTATCGAATATTTTTACTATTCGAATAGTTTTTGAATGACTATCGAATAGTTCGATAGTTACAATTCGATATTTCCCATCACTAATTTTAATCACTGTCTGATATCATTATACTTGACCCAACTATGCCACAACCCCATTTTGGCGCGAACCCACTGTGCTGGGTTTATTTTTAAATGAAACTAATTAATTTTAACGAAATATATATTTTGAACCATATTGAGGATTAACAATACTATGATTTGAAAATACTAATTTTTTATTTGACCTTACAGTATTTCTTATGATTAAATAAACGTTTATGTAAAACATTTTAATAGTAGTAGAACTAATTCATGAAAAAAATACACGTTGTATTTTGAGTTATTTTACTAATTTAAGCTTTCTAATGGTGTTTTATAATCAATAAAATATTTCATAAAAATAATAATTTTATATAAAAAAATAACTTCTTGTCGCAGGAATTTTTTTTAATATACAAAACGATTATTTTATTATAAACTACTTAATTATCAAAAAATAAAAATAATAGTGATAACATTATTTGTTTCTTTTAGTTACATGTTTTTTAAGGAGGTCATTGATTTAGTAACACATTAATTCACCCTTAAACAAAAAATTATATTAATTATTTATGTATAAGTGTAAACTATTTTGGAATTTTTAATGTCAATTCAATAAGTTTATTATATATATAAAGGGGCTGTCTTTTACAAGTAATAATGTTCTAGCTATCAAAGTCTCATGATAAATTGACGTAACATAATATAGGTAATTGTTATAATGAATTAACCTTTCATTACGATTTTTATCTGTTAAGCAATGAACCATGATATCATTATAATTAGTTTTCATGTAAAATGTTACATAAATACTGTTACATATGGGTAACATCATTATTATTATCTGTTAAGCAACAATTTATATTATTTGTCTAAACTTTCATATAAATGATAAAATTCACACAAAAATATCTTATTTTTGTGTTATAATTCTCGGTCGTGTATTTTATTTTAAAATACTTTACAAAGAATTTTGTGTTAGAATAAAATTAAAAATTCGTTTGATTTTTATCTTATTTAGATTCAATAACTTTAATGAATATTAAGGACCTCATCACTGTAGTCTACTTTAGTGAGAAGGAATTTCTTATTCATATTAAAATAATTTTATTATGTTTTTTTTTGTGGCTGTCATTTATTTTCTTAGTTCTCACTTGACCAATTTTTTTTTATTAAGGATAAGTCAAATGATCACTATATTATATTATAAACTATTATTTAGTTAAAGTTATTACCATTTAAAATTAAATAAAAATTCCCTTTATCAAATAAAAAGGCTTTTTACAACTTTTTTCATACAGACAATTAAAAGCATTCATTTGTAATATTTTTAAAGTATATATTGTCGAATTAGTTGTGATATAATAATAGGTTTCAACTACAAAATTAAATAATTTTTCTTTGTAATTTATTAATTGTTTTACTCTATTTGTGTGTGTTACTACCAGTCTATAATATTTCAAATTTTTTGGTAACATGGTGTTATATAAATAATTTCTAGAAAATATGATACTAGAAATATAATACTTTCAATTAAGTAGATTTTTTAACAACTTTTTAATTGTTTTTTTAGTTAAAGTTGTTACGTCGCTATTTAGGGGTTGAGCCTAAATGCCCGTCAACAGTATTCTAAGGGACCAACGGTGGATAGCTGGCTAGGCTATATCTACCTTAGATACTGAGGTGTCCTATTTAATTTATATTCCCTTAGAGAAACTACCAAGGGTCGTACTACAATATATATATATAACACTCTTGGTTAACAACAATATAAATATTTATTAAGTAACGATATATTAAATAATTGTACAACCTGCTGGACATCTAGAAATGATATAATCCAACAAGGAGCTAACGGCGACACACACACACACACTATTTACGTGGTAGGTAAGTTAAGTTAAATGTAAGACAAGAGTAATGGTCGCGATGATGGTAAAAAGTCAACTGTCGTTAGGAATATATTATTATGGCACATTGGCCGTAGATTGCAAAAGTGTTTATGTGTGTAGTCTGCCCTCCTGTAGTAATACGTGTGTCACTGTGTCAACGATATGAGGCTAGTCGGCGTTACAATAATAATATGAGATATGATCGTATTAAAGTAAATCATTGAAAATTAACGAAGTTCTGAATATTTAAATTGTAGAATCTTTTTAAATACCAAAAGTTACTTAGAAATAATTATTGTGATTTCTATTTAAATGATCTATGACGATAAAAATGCAAAAAAAATATTGAGTTTTTCTGATAAATGAGTAAATAGAAATTATAAAATTGCCTGACTGCATATTAATCTTAAAATACTATTATTTTAATACTCATAAAATTTTCTATTTAATGATGTAAATTTCAAAATTGAAGTTGAGATTAATAAAGCTTATGTCATGTACTATAAGTTAAAAAATAAAATTAGTCCCGACCACTTCTATGTGCAAACGGCTAGTTAAAAAAACATATTAGCTTTGTGTTAAAATTTTCGTTTTTAAATTTTCAACTTTAAATTGCTATAACTTTTTGAAAAATGTATAGATCAACACAAATTTTGGTTACTAAATACATTTTATATAGCCCTTTCCGACATATTTTTTTTTTTAACTGCAAATTCCCCTTATACAGAGTGCGTTCAATACTTGAAACATACATATAAAAAGTAGAACTTTTTCAACTTAACTTTTGAAAATGTTTCGGAAATACTGCGTTCTTTAAACATAAATTAAATTAAAGCTTACACTGTATTATAAGTTAAAAAAAATTAGTCCCGACGACTTATATTCTAAGCCGAAGTAGAACAAAAAATAGGAGATAATTTTGCTTTTGGTATAATCCACCAATTTCTTAAAATTAAACATTATCTACAGATTTGCATCAAAGCGTTTCTAATAGTAATTATAATCACTGTCAGATATCATCTATACTTGACCCACTATGCCACGTCCCCACTGTGCTACCGTTTTTTTCAATTATTATATTACTGATTTAAGTATTAGTTATAAATATTTTCATAGAGGAAATGTTTGCAACTTTTAATGTCAATTGAATAATATGTTTATTAAAAGGCAGAGGGCTGCCTTCAAAGATTATGTCGCATACTATTGTTAAAATAGAATATTGTCCAGTCACCTTGAATTTTATATGCAAAAGCCACTGTAGTTAAAAATAAACTTTATTTTGTATTAAAATTCGCGATTTTGTATTTTATGTAATTCAAAAAAAAATGTGTATTTTCAACTTTAAATTGCTATAGTTCTCTGAAAAATGTATGGGCAAATACAATTTTTTAAAAGGCTTCTTTATAAATATACTTATACCAATTATGACGAATCCTCAGTGTGTTAAGTTTTTTTTATTTGAATTAATTTTAAAATAAATTTTTATCCAAAAATTTAATTATTTTTAATAATTATTAGATAATTTTGTGAAATACTTCTTTATATTTATGTCATAACATCTGCAATTTTTATTATATTTTATATTGTCCTATATAAATTTAATTTATGAGATGTTATAATTATATTTCTATGTATTGTCTATGTATTTGTTTATGTTTTTGATTTTCATAATTTTGATTACTGACAAATTGTTTTCATTGAGTAGAAAAATTAAATTTTTTTTTATTTAAGAGTTAAAATTTTATTACCAATGATAAGTTTATCATATATGTTATTTACTTTTGGTATCAGACATTCTAATAATCTTAAATTTTTGATTTATAATAATCTCTTGAGACCATATTTCCGAAAAAATATTTGAATATTTTTAACCAAATATTATATGAATGTATCATAATCATTTATATTAAACCATCGCCTTACACATGTCTACAGCAAAAATTTAAATTATTATTACACTTATGTTTAATATTTTTAATGATTTTATCTTTTAGAGTAATCTACCCAAAAGAGCCCAATAAAATTGAAAATTACAAAATGCAATTATTGTCCAAATAATGGTTTAAATATTGATTTTAAAGATTTTGCCACTTGCAGGTGTGAAACCAAAAAGTTTTTTTTAGGTTAGTATTTCAATATTTTGGGAACATGCGATATATTTTAAAATATTACCTTACCTTTTGTCATCGGCTAATCAAACAAAACTGTATAAATTTTTCCCTTGCAAAAAATTACTACCAAAGTATTGATATCTACACCGTAGCCGAGTTTCCTCTTTCTTCAGTTAATAAATTACTACTCAAGTTATATGAGCAACATTATTCCTTTATTTGTATTGTTTAATAATTAATCGGTTTTTATATGAGGCATAAAACAGATTTTGGTACAGTTTTGATTGAAAATCGTAATGAGATATGAACCTTTTCTTTTCTTCTGAATGATCTCTCACATATTTCATAAATGAGTACTAAGTCAGTAATTAGACAAAAAGAGTTTTGTCAAAAAATTTTTTTGGAATTTTTAAACTATTTAAAGGAAATCTCCTTTTAAATATCCTTGCAAGCTATAATTGTTTTTTTTTTATTAAGCTCTTCACATTGCTAGTCTATAAAAAAACTTTTAATTAAAAAAATAATTTTCCTGCCTCCAATTTATAATTTTATCTACAAAAATCATATTGAGAATTATATTAAATAAATAACCCACAAAATATACAAAAATCTATACATTTTGAAAAAAATTAGTCCATTTATGTTTGTTTTTTTGAAAGTAAGGCATCTTTAGTAAATTATCTTAAATGACTCAAATTACATTTGATCACTTTTGAAATTAAATTATTTATTTTATTTAAACATTGATAATTCAATTTATAATATTAACTTACATTGCCACAATATATTACATCACATTCTTGTTTTATATCAGATATTTCTAGCCTTTTATGCTTCATAATACATTTAATTTTTTCAGTAATTTTGTTTTTTTTTGAAAATTTACTGTCAAAAATCTTACACTTAATGAAGTTGCATACTTTATCAACATCATCACTCTACAAAAAAAATATGTTTTGTAAAAGTACTATATAAAAGTACTATAGGACCCCGAAAAGAACAAACTGGGACAATTACAGGGCAGATCTTTCTCGTGACCTGAATAACCTACAATTTAGATTGGGGTCGAGACAGAGTACTGAAAGGGCTGTAAATATACTACAGGACTCCATTGTCTCGGCTTCCAAAGAAAACTGTCCTTTAATAGAAAGGAAAGGTACAGGACAGGGTGTAGCTTGGTGGAATGCTAACCTGTCTAAATTAAGAAAGAGTTCACGTAAGCTCTTAAATAAAGCAATGAAAGCAGGTTTGGAACAACACTGGGAATCTTATAAGGACGCCCAAAGGAACTACAAATCTGCATTGAAAAAGTCCAAACGAGAAAGCTGGAAGAAGTTCTGTGGGAATATACAACAACTCCCTATAGCAACTAGACTTCTGCGATTACTGAGGAATGGACCAAAAATTACGGTGTCATTTGAAATGAGAATGCTGACTTTCTAGCCAGGAAAAGAGCAGAGAACACCTATGTTGGCCCAGAACCAGTGGTAGGGGACTCACTGAGCAATCGCTCGAAGCAGTACCCAAGAATTGGTGCAGATAACAACACAGGAAAATCTGGAAGTACCTGGTAGTACCTAGACAATCTAAAATGTTTATCAAGACCCCTGGTCTATTGCTAGGTGATCTTAATAGCATGACTAGACATCAAATAAGCACTCTGACTGGTCTACTGACAGGACATGGTCACCTGCTTAAACATCTTAATGCAATGGGGGTATCGGAATCACCATTGTGCAGAAAGTTTGGAGTAGAAGAGGAAGACTCATTTCACATCATGTGTGAATGTGAAGCCTTGTCCACACTAAGATCAAACTACTTGAGTAACCTTTTCCCGAAAAAGTAGATATTAAAAACCTAAAACCCAGAGAGATACTTAATTTCGCCAGAAAGACAGGACTCTTTGGTAATCTATAGAGGTGACTTTATGGTTGATAATATATTAACACTTCGGTGATAACACTTAGGTGGGTAAACCGAATTAAGACAATTCGGTATGAGGTGCGTACAATGGACCAACAGGTCTGAGTGCATGGGAATTATGTCCACCTCGATAATAACTAAAACTAAAAACTATAGTACGTAACACAAACCTTAATTTAACATATGTATATAGGACAGTGTATTTCCGAAATATTTTCAAAAATTAAGTTGAAAAAATTAACTTTAAAACAAAACTTAATTATAAATCCTTCCTATGGGTAGTTTAAGAGTCAAATTTTATAAAATATTATACTTATAAAAATAAATACGTACTTATTTATATAAAAATAAAATATGACTTTTTAATGTATTGTAAAGCAAAATTGATTTAGTGGGAGCTGAGAAAAAGTAGTACAGACACAAAAAAAAAAAATAAAAACCTAAGCAAATATGTTTTCTATAGTGTCTAGAAATGAATGTTCCAATTTTATTGTAAAGATTTGTGCTTTCCACTTTAATAATTATTATTTTTAAAAGACATTATTGAAGTAATAATTTTGTTGCTCTTCAAAAAAAAAAAATTAAAATTGGCATATTAGCTGTTGTAAAATAAGCACAGATATAAATCAAATATCTCAGTATGCATAACCAAAACATGTTTAGTGATATATTATTAAAAAAATTTAAATGTTCAAAATTAAAATCTAGATTTTTAAAATTTGAAAAATAAACTCTATTTAATTTTATTGTAATTATTATTTAACAATTAATAATGAAGTTATTTACATAATTAATAAATTAATATTTTTTAAAAGTATATTTTTTATTTGTCCGTACATCTCAAACGAAAAATATAAAAGTTATTTTTAGTACTAATATTCAATTAATTATAATACTATAATTAAAAATTGAACACATATATTTTTCAAAATAAAAGTATAAAATTTGAATACCTATTTACCTTTGATTTATTAGATATTTCAGGAATATTTTTCATAAACTTCGAATTTTCCCACCAAG